GTAGTCCGAGAGGGTTGCGTAGTACAAGCGCCAACAGCTTCGCAAGCACTCAAGTCAAGACGAGCATGGATCGACAGAGTCAAAGCTTTCGTCTGGATACCCCAACGGAGTCGATCGCGACGTCAACACAGTCGCTCTACCAAGTTGCGACTGCTAGAGATCAGCGCCGTGACTGCGGTAATCGGACGCTGTGTGGTCGCTCCGCGACTTCTGATCTCCATCTTCGGAGCTACAGGCTACGTATCAACCGCCTAGTTCTTTATCGGACCCCTAGTTCAGCTACAGTCAACTCGACTCGGTCATGCATGACGGATGTTCTGGATGCGTCTGTTCTTGTCGGAAAGTTCTCCTTCAACTCAGCGCCTTTAGGTCGGATGCGACGATGAGCAAACCTGCGTACGAAGACCTACAAGCCATTGCGTCCGAGGATGAAGCAGCTGGAGATTACAGTCGACTCACGTCTGAAGCTCTTGCACTAGCCGATCAGCTAAAAGCGAACGGAGCGGTGTGCTCGACGGGAATGAACGACTGGGGAGCGCCGAATATTGTCTTGTCGGATGAAGCGGAAGGCGTGTTTAAACATCATCACTACGCTCGGTCTCTCAGTGTCGCCGCAGATGCTACGTGAGCTGCAGGTGGCTGTAGAGAGGAAAGAAGAGTGCGTCTCGCGCTGGAAAATCGGCATTCTGCTTCGACTTTTCAAGTTCCAGAACGTCAAGGACAGCCTCGACTACTCGTGTGAAGACACACTCTCCCATGCGCTGTCTTGTACGTGGTACAATGCTGGCGCAGAGCGATTCAAAATCCCACAAAGCCACGCCTGTTGCTTGATTATTGATTCTGTTGTTGGTGACGGACGCTATTCACGATCAAACTGCTGTCAGCCGATGATTCGCACAGGTATCACAAAGATGCAAAATGTATTGTTTCAATCCGAACTCATGATTCCATTGGAATGGTGCGACACTTTCCCACATTCATTTCTCTAAGATCAGTACATGGTTTATCGGACCATACTTAAATTTTGTATGGATATATACTGCTAAATATCTGCCAGCAAATATCACCAGCCAATCACAGTTAATATAAATCATGATTTTAACTAATCGAATGTAGTAGGTCTAGGTGAGTCATCCAAGCCATTCGCTTGGACGTATCAAGTCCGATAAAACTTTAAAATATGTGTATGTTCATCTAGTTGTCAAGTGCTAGACGTATCCCTTTCATGTTCCTCTGTATCGGACCTTCGCGATGGGTTTAGATGAATTGCAACCTGGCAACACATTGCGGGCTAAGGCAACTGCTGTCGCAGCTTTTTCAAAGTTCTTAAAGGGTGAGGATGTTGAGAAGGAATACGTAAACAAATGTATTGAGGCGGATGAGAGTGGGAAGAGCTTTGTGTGCGTCATGGATAGGTTTGGAATGTATCTTGCGTTTAGTGGAGGAAAGAAGGGTAAATTGCTGGCACGAAACACTGCAATGCAGTGCTATCACCAAGCCAAAATCTGGCTTCTAGAGCAATTTTCTCAGCACCGAGCTTCGCTAAAAACGCGGCTGCTTAAAATGGGAAAGCTTCCAGATAACTTTTGTCTAAAAAGAGATGGTGGTGGCTTCGTAGCAAAGGCCCCACCATGTACAAAGGCTGACTTAAAAAATGGTAATGTATCGGTATGTCAATGCATGTTCTGAGAGTAACTACCAAGATGCTGCTCTTTTGTGCCTACTCTGGTACCTGTTCGGGCGAACTTCGGACCTGTCGATGATCAAGAAGCGGAACATCTCCATAGATGCCGCTCATGTCTTCCTCCTTCAATTGGTCCGTGTGAAGACGTCGGAAGAACAAAGCTTGTACCTCTTCCCCGACGCCGACTTTGCAGCGTGCCCCTTGCTCGCTGTTGCTCTCACCCTCTCCGTCCAAGCAGCACCATGCCCATCTCTCATCGGGAACCTTCCCGACCAATTGCAGCAAACGCCGACAACACTTTCACCTAACATTCCGTTCGTGGAGCTTCTAAACGCACCACCGTCAACCTCCGGTCTTGCTACGCCTGCTCCTCCTCCTCATCGTACTGCTTCGGCCCCGACAATCTGTTCAATGTCAACAGTGTGCTTGATCGCGCCGCCCCTGCCGCCGGTGTGTCAGCTGCTCTCACGTCGCACTCCTTCCGTCGTGGTGGGGCCCAACATGCCAACGGCTGCGAGAAGATGACCGCGCGCTTCGATCGCGGATCTTGGAGCCTAAGCACCACAAACAAAGGATTCAGCTACATTTTTAATACAAGTAGAGAAGACCACATGGTTGCCAAGATATTGCGTGGATACAAACCAGAGGACGTTGTCCCTCTCCAAGACCTGTCCAGCTTTGACACAGACACGCTTGACGCGATTCTTGAGTTCCAACGAGTCTTGTTTGCATCTTGCTATCAACTAGAGAAGGAGAGCTTCAACATCAACCGGAAGGTTCTGGATGTCCTTATCACTTGTGTCGTTAGGCACTATCCCGTCGTAAAGGGCTTGGTTATCCAGCAGTCCAGCGGTGCAGCGACTCGAAACCTGTGTTACGCAGGCTGGTCGTAGCTACCGGACCTCTTATCCTGGTCGACGCATCTTGCAGGAGCGCAGCATTCCTGTAAAGACAGCAGAGAAGCATCCACCTCACCATCCACGCTAATCGAGCCAAGCCAAGAACAGAAGGTCATCGACCACCAGACCGCTGCCATTAAATACCTTATCAAAAATTTTAAGCGCCAAGATGCCCGCATGGAAATGCTTGAGGCTAAGCTGAGCGGTGATTTTGTAGCGGAAACGCGAAAAAGAAGCATTAAAGATGAAGACGCCACAGATGTGAGCAAATCCAAGAAAACCCAGCGTGGAGGATAAGCAACCTACTTTCATGTGACTTGGTTTACCTGGTACGCGCAAGAGCCACGCTGGTACGTCGAAGCACCGAAGCAGCAGCACTCGCAGGCCAAGCTGCTAGTCGCGCACATGAAGCTGTTGCTCAACGACGGCTTCGTATGTCAGCGGACTACCGCGATAGAGTTCTGGAGCTGGGATGCGCGCCGAGAATGCTGCACTCACGTACTTAAAAGGCAAACACTGCATCAACTCTCGCGGATGGAGCGTGGTCCTCAAGCACCCCCAGCGGGTCCACTGCTCCGGCGCGCTAAATGCCAAGATCCAGCGCCACCTTCAACTTCTCCAGACAGCCGCGATCCAAGACCCATCTCCTGGCTACACGCAGGGCGCTCTTGAGGAGGTTAGTAAGTAGGACAAACAAACTAGATCCGAATGTATGCACCCTTCCTCACAGCATTAAGTCATGTCGACCTCAACACACGTATGCAATCACCTTTCTTGCTGATCTGAGCTGTCCATGAAACTTGATTTTCGCCACAAGGCCTCTGACCCAAGCATAAGCAATAGCGATGGCCCAATTTGAACAGGCATCCTCAAGGCCGAAACCTTGCGCTCTCTTAGTTGAGCTACACCGCTGGAAAGAGGGAAGTCAGAGGCTACCTGGAGGCTTGGAAAACCGTGCAGCCCGTTCGGGAGATCAGCGTAGTTGCGCTAAAAAAGTAAGACTGACCGCCAACGTGAGCTGTCGGCGACGGATGGACTGAAAGTGAGAGGCTGCAAACCATTCGATACTTGTATTCTAACGTAAATACAAGTGGCAGGGTTTTACTGGCAGATAATTAACCAATGAGCAATAGTGGCTCTGTTAACTGGCTGTCATCAATCTTTATTTACCGGACAGATACAAAATTATCCGGACGATAATGGCGATTCTGCCTCGTTGTTAAATTCGCTAGCTCATGAGCACGTGACTGTCATGCCAAAAAAGCATAAAAAACAAAAAAGTGATTTTCTCGGCCCAGAGAGCGTTTCAGGCTGTCTATAAAAATGGCTTGGCCACTCTTTGGCCTTTTGCGTCATTTAACATCAGGCATGCCCCCCCTAAACCTTGTACCTATCTGAGATAAACTGTGTACAATACATAGGTCCGATAAGGTCATCCGGTCCGAAATGTTTTGGTATGGTGGCCCACCCTACCATGTACTGAGCTATTGGTGCGTCGCCCATTATTTCAGGAAAAATGACTCCTGTCCTCGTAAGTACAGTAATCCCAATCGTTTTGTCTGTGCGAACGCAACTTTTTTTCTTAATAAGATACCTGCGGAGCTGTATGATCTGTCTGACAACGAGTTCAGGGCTGCTGCTGACAGTTTCGGGAGATGAAGAAGCTGGTTACGCCTTGGCGACATAGCGATAAAAAATTTCTCAAATTCGGACGACGTAGATCAAAGCCAGACTCCAACAAGCTTGCAAAAGATATCAATTCTAGCAGTAAATCCTG